ACAAGATACAGGCATGAAATACTGGTCCAAACAATACTAGCACAGTGAACTAAGAGGTGCTTAGCTATCTAACTGTCTTAAAGTCTCTTGTGTGTGTATCTTTCCCTTCTTTCCTTTACCATTTCTCCCGTCACAGTTTTTCTTTTCTTTTGCACTGTTTCTTCCCTATTCCCAGTATCTGTTGTACATTTTGAATCTTTCTTACTTGTTCAGTTTCTCACACTAGTGAGACAGTATGATATTACACATGTGGGTCTAATTTATTTCATTTATGAGTATGGTCTTGAGTTGTATCCATTTACCTATGTAAAAGTCTCAAGTTTACCCTTTCTGGCTGAGTAGTATGGAATATATATATAAACACACACACACAGATATCTATCTATCTATCTATCTATATCCCTCCCTGCCTCTTTTTGAAACAGAGTTTCACTGTGTAGTTCAGACTTGAACTTACTTTGCAGCCCAGGCTGGCTTCAAACTCAGCAATCTTCCTGCCTAAGCCTCAAAGTGCTGGGATTACAGGCCTGAGCCACTACACCTAGCATGGAATTACTTAACAAAGTTATTTTTCTCCATTTGATTACCTGGATACCTTTGTTGAAATCCTACTTTCTTTACTTTTTCTGTTCCATTGATCTTTGTATATTTTGTTTTTGTTTCTGTTTTGGTGTCTCATTATGCAATTCAGGCTGACCTTGAACTCACTGTAGCCCAGGCTGATTTCGCCGCAAACCTCTTGCCTCAGCCTCCAGAGTGCTGGGATGATAGGCATCCACTAACATGCCTGGCTCTTTGTTCTTCTAATGATAGCACTCTGTTGATAATTCACTTTATAATAACTAAATCAGGTTTGTATGAGTCCTTAGGTCTTTAGCATTTCTGTGTAAATTTTATACTTAGTTTATTGATTTGTTTAAAATACTCCAATGGGACTTCGGGGTTCTGTTCTCGTTAGATTAATTTTCGAAGAATTGCCACTTTAAACATGAGTCTTCAGACTCTAAACATGGTATGGTTTCTTTTAAGATCATATTTAATTTATCCAGTTGTTTAATAGATTCTGTTGTGTACTCTGCACACATTTTTTTGTCGCTAAATGTTTTATAGTTTTGATTGGTAAGTAGAAATGTTTTCTTAGTTTTATTTTTTAGTTGTTTCCAGAATATAAAAATAAGTTTGGGGGGTGGGGATTTAGCTCAGCAGCATAAGTGCCTGCCTTGCAAGCAGGCAGTCGTGAGTTTGATCCCCAGTACCTAAAAAAAGGAAAAAGACCAAAAAAAAAAAAAAGTTTGATTTTTGTGTGTTAACCTTTTATCATGTCACTTTAATTCACTTATTGCTTCTGATAGCTTTTGTAGTTTGCTTAGAATTTACATACATACATAGTTATTTCATCTGCAAGTAAAGGTAGTTTAATTTTATTTTTTCCCTAACCTACATGTCTTATATTATAGTAGTACAGGTATCTTTTATCTTTTTTGGTTAAACAGAGAAAGGAATTCAGCCTTCCACCATATTGTGTGTAATGTAGATGCTTTATTTGAAGAATTTTAAATGTTCTATATAGTAGTTTTATCATAAATAGGCTTTAAAATTTGTCAGGTGCTTTATTGTGTCTATTGAGTCAACTGTATGGTATTAGTTTGTTTGATTTTTATCCTATTAATATTGTGAACCACATTGACTTTTAATATTAACCTTGCATTGCTGAAATTATCATTAATTGGTCAAGATATTTAAATTTTTTTTTCTAGATTCAGCTGGCTAAACTTAAGAGCTTTTGTATTGATGGTCATGTAGAGATGATTTTGGTATAGGGACAATATTTGCCTCATAAAATGAACTTAGAATTATCTTTCCTATCTGTTCTAGTTTTTGAAGGTTTTAAACATTGGCATGTTTTTGGACCTCACTTTTCTGATAAATTGATTTTTTTAGTATTATATAAGAACCTTCTTCATTTCTAGTGGAATTCCATGTTCTGAACTTTACATTGTCTGATCGTATGAGCCGTTACAGGTTTCTTTTTATTAGTGTTTGTGAGGTACATCTTCATCTGTTTAGTTTTTGCCTATCTATAACCTATTTTAAAGTGAATTTTTTTGTAGATCGCTTACTCATCTAGTTGCATCTTGTTAATCAGCCTTATTAGACCAGTTGCAGTTAAGTAGTACATTTCTATAAATGTTTGCAGTTAAATTTAAGTCTTGCTATTTACTTTATACTTATTACTTGATTTTTATTTTTATGCATTTGTCTGCTTTCTTTTATAATGAATCTTCTGACCAGGTGTGATGGCTCACACCAGTAATCCCAATACTGAGGAGGACGCCATGGCAGGAGGATCTTTATGAGTTCAAGGCCAGCCTGGGGGCTACATAGTGAGTTTAAGGCAAGCCTGAACTATGTAAGAGAGAATGTCTCAAATACACACATGCAGTTTCTTTATGATCGTATTAGAGTTCTCCTGGGAACCAATTTTATTGTATATTATTTTCTAACATGGTTATGGCGATTCAAAGCCTGACACACTGTTCTCTGTAAGCTAGAGATTCAGGCAGCTCGTAGTATAATTTGAAGACCTGCTTAGAGCAGAAGAATTGATAGTGTAAGTTCCAGGCTGAGATGAGAGCTTGAGAACCAGAGGAACAGAAAGCAGTAGACCAAATTTCTTCTGTCTTTTTGTTCTGGTTTGCTGTTCAACAGATCGATACTTACTGATGCTTTTCTGAGTTCACCAGTTCAGATCCTAATATCCAGAAACACTCTTAACAGAAGGTCAGAAATAATGTTTAACTGACTCTCTGGGCATCCCTTGGCTTAGTCAAGCTGACAGATAAAAAGAAGCTATACCTTTTCATTTGGGGCCTTTCTTGGTGTTTTTTGTTTTTTGTTTTTTTTTTAACTAAGTGGGATAAAAACTGAATATGGGGCAGAATTATATTTGCTATATTGACAAAAATCATCTCTATACTGCTGTGTTTTGTTTTTATTTTAAAAATGTTTTGCAATGGAAGACAAACCATGAAAACTGTTTTGCCATATAAATTCAAAGTGGAAATTGAGGGTGGTAGGGTGGAGATACTGCTGTTGCTTGGAGTTTTTGAAAGGGCTTCACATGGCTTCTGAAGATTTATTTTTTATCTTGAAGGTATGGGTGATATTGCATATTAGCATGGATGTGCTACACTGTAGTCAGTATTGTATAGATTGAGTTTTCAGTAACCATTTGAATATATAGATTCCAGGTTTAGGAGAGATAAATAGATACTGTTGATGATAAAGTCCTTAGGAGCACCGATTTACCTGGTCATTTGGTTTCGTGTCATTGGATGTTGTGGATGCTGACTAGTGGGAGGAATACAAATAGAAGAGATTGATTGTATCATTTATAAAGAATTCATCCCACTGTAGAGGTTAGTGTGCAAACAAAATAAGGACCTTATTTCAAAATCCTGCCTGAAACTATTATGTAACTTTGTCACTTATAAGACAGAGTATTCATTAAAAACTTAAATTTAAAAATACATAGAATAAAAACAGCAATAGTACAAAGCTTAGTGAGTAAAGTTCACTGTACTTGAGAACTTTGCAGAAATAGATTTTCAGGAGTGCAGTAAGGAAAAGGAGTATATTAAAATAAAGACATTTAAGAATATGGAAGTAATAAAGATGAAAATCATGGAAAGAATATTAAAATCAGCTAAGTAACAGAATAAGCAGAAGTCCATCTATATTCATGGATAATGTAAAGATTTATTGCTTGCTGTTTAGTTTATTTTAAAAATATTTGATATTTAAAGTAATCTAAAATTAACCAATTCTGGAAAAATTTCAAGGAAAAGTAGTTGGTAGCAATGTATGAAGAACTGAAAATGCCAGTTTCCTGATAAATATTTCTTAGATTTTATGGTCATAGGATTAAAGAAATTTTAGGAGTTTAAAAGTTAGGCTGTCATGGTAAACTGTCTCCCATCCTTCAGATTGCTTTCCCAGGGTTCTTAGGATTTATACGTGTAACCAAGTATTGTAACATTAATCCTATTGTACACTTACTGCTAGTTGTTAGGCAGGGTCAAGATTAGGTAAGTAGAATGAATGTAAAATGCTTGATAGTATCACTGAACTTTATTGACTGAATTTTTAAAAAAAATCTTCATGATTTTACCTTTTTGAATCTTGATATTTTTATTGTTCCAGATTTAGAGCTACTCATAGTTTCATTTATAATCAAGTGGTGTGTGATCTTCCACCAGATATTTGACTAACCTGTACCCAGCCCTCAAAAGTTGTTAAATGTAGACACTGATGCAGGTGTATAATTTGTCTAGACTACTTTAAGAAACAAACTTGTCACATCTTCGTAAAAACTGGTTTTATATTTTTTAAAAAATTACATTGAGTTCAGATAAATTATGAAATAAATAAGGCCTTTGCATGAAAAGAAAACTTGAAATGGCTTTCAAGTGGGTGGCTATCTTATATTACTTACCTTTCTGTTAATACTTTTTTTTTATAGTAGCACAGCATGTAGAACATTCTGTTTCAACACAGGTATAAATAGTAATAGCCTCCTGGTTTTTCTTTTCCCAACTCATTTTGTAGTCTTAGGAAATGCTGAGGTAAAGAGGTTTTCTTCTGAGCTCTCCTCAAAGTGAGTTTACCTACCAAGGCAAGTTGGAGCACTGACAGTCTCGAGTGTGTGGAAAATTTGGTATATAGTGTGTTATATGACAAGAAGTTAAAACTTATTTTAATCAAATTCACAAGTCCTAAGTGGCAGAACCACACCTCAAGCCAGTTGGAGTCAAAGGCTCCTTCTACCGTATTGTAAAACTTATTTTTTATACTGATTTTTAAAAGTAAATCTAATGTATAAATCTAGACATACTAGTTTATGGCTTATTTTCTTATGTTTTGTAACGTAAAGTATTTGTTTAGTATTTTAAAGAAATTTATACTGCTCTTGTGACCAATTGTTTCCTTTCTTCCTCCAGGGAAATGAGGCAAGTTACCCTTTGGAAATGTGCTCACACTGTAAGTTGAATATTCTTGTTATTAGGAATTTCTTACAAATCTATCTTTACATATGTTTGTGTATATGTATGTATACGAGAATACAAAACACATATCTGTAATACATATTTATCTGTATAGTAATGTGACCCACTTGCCAACCCCCTTGTATGGTGCTGAAGCTCAAACCTAGTTTTACCAGATTTTAGGGTGCTGGAGTCTCCTTCGGGCAATGGTTTCTAGATTTTCTGTCCTAACCAAAACACTGGTTAAGACAAATGTAAATGGAAGCCAAATTTTGTTAAGGTTCTAGAGAAATCTAGGAAAAGAAATAGGCTCCACAGAGTGAGTTTGACCCAAGTAAAAGTAGGAAGAGAAGTATGCCCTCCAGTGTAAGGGTGAGCCACTGTGGAAATGAGAGCACAGTGGCAGAAAGCCAGGGTAGACTGTCCATTTTATGTCACCCACTCCGCACGTTGAAGTTGGGTCTGGGCTACCCAATGGGAAACCTGCTCATCGGTGTGCAAAGCTGTGGGAACCATTGTGCACATGTGTCCTGGAATCCTGTAATTAACAGGTTACACCTGTTTCCCCAGCCAGTTTTGCCATGTCACTACTACTGAACTACTACATCCTCAACACTCATTACCTTTAGTTTTGAGCTAAGTTACACAGGAGGGACTAAAACTTAGATCCTCCTGCCTCAGCCTCCATCATTGGTTGGATTACTTGAATCCACCATCATGCCTAGTGCAAAAGGAGCCCTTAAGTATTTAAAGTAGATAATGAATTTGACATATAGCCTACAGGTTACCAAGAGGGGAAACTTTTTGTAGACTTTATTAATAACTGTGTTATGCCATAGTTACAGATAAACCCCCCAAATCTCAGTGATTTAAGCTAACAGAAATTTTTCAAGTTAAAGGATTTCTTTTTTCTTTTTTGTCTTTTTCCTTTTTATTGGTACTGGGGATCGAACTCACGACTGCCTGCTTGCAAGGCAGGCACTTATGCCGCTGAGCTAAATCTCCAGCCCCCCCAAGTTAAAGAATTTCCAAAGTGGCTTTGTAGGAGCTTTTTTCTGTTTGATACTCAGTGATCTAGGTTCCTTTGTTTTTATAATACCAACAGTTGTATGTCCAATTTCCTGTGTATCTACAGGGGAAAGGGACATTAAGATGCTTGCAGGCCATGCTTTTATCTGAAGTGAGCGACATATTTTATGCTTACGGTGTATGGGCCAGGAGTGGTCATAGTGCTCCACCAAATTGCCATGCAGTTGGAAAGTTCAGTTTTCTGTATATTTAAGGAGAAGAAACAGATACAACACAGTTTTCATTAGATCTTTTAAAAAAATTCTGTGGATAGGTTTTGGGTGATATTTTTGTATTTTTCTAATTCAAAAACACATTTTCAGAACAAACATCTTGTCTAAAACCTTGTTGTAATACTTAAAATGTGCTATTTTTTAAGTTTGAAAAAGGTCATTTTCACACATGAATTTGATGGAAGCTTAATATTTGAAAGACTAGATAGCAATTTAGATTTAATTAACTTGTATTACTATTGCAATAAGAGTTAAAAAGCAGATGTAATGATTGGTCTGGTCACCAAAAGCATCTGATGATACCTCATTACTGCTTTATTAAGGGTATGTTCATTTTGACATTCTTGTTTCAAAAAATATTCATAAAAATGCTGATATGTTTCGTTTATACCACTAGTTTCTCTTAGTCTATTGAGAAGAAAGTTTTGTGCTAATTATCTGTTTTTTCTTTTTAAGAGTGCTTTTTGTTGATGTCTTATATTCTAAATAACTTCTTTGAAGATGATACACACTGTATTCTTACTATTTTGTTGTAAAATTTTGTTTTATTATTTCATAAAATAAAAGACGTGGGATTGTACTTCCATGTTTTCCATCCCAAGATATTTTAGTTTCATTTTATTATTATTTACTCTTAGGGTTAGGAGTTAAGCCTTTAAAAAAGTCGTAATTTGATTTGTAGAACAGCAAACATTTTTCCTTAATAGTCTATTTTACTCATAACCTTGTACTTAGTAGGACTCTTTTAAGTCTTTGGTCATTTGGTTTTTTTGTTTTTTCCTGGTTCTAGAGATTGAACTCAGGACCTGTGCACTGAGCTCCATTCCTGTCCATTTTATTGACGGACTGATTAACACACAAGATCTAGCTGAGCCACTGAGTTGCTCAGGCTAGTTTTGAGTTTTTATAGTCCTCCTGCCTCAGCCTCCTAGAGTGCTGGGTTACAGATGTGTACCTGGCTAGTTATACCAGTCTCCTGCATATTATGGTTCTGTTCAGTCCCCTGTTAGCCACTGTTCGCCTACCTGCTTTTGCCTACATTTTCAAGTTCTAATTTCTTTTTATCTTCTGATTAGTTCCTTTAGTTCCTTTTATATTCTCTGGTTGTAATGTGTCGGTGTATTGCAATGGGTAGTCAACATCATTCAGACTCTTTGTAGTATCTAGAAACTTTAGAATTGACAAGTACATATCTGGATTCCATTGCAGCCATAGTTTTTTAATGTTACTTTATTTCTGTCACAAACTCAGGTGAGATTTGGAAAGTAGAAGTGAGCTGGAATTTGCTGTTTTCTGTTCTTATTGTTTCTATTAGTACAATTCTGATTATGATTTGGATTTTTGTGTCTGTGTATATTCTGGAGCCAAAAACTTTCAAATTTACCATGCAGCTTCCTGGCTTTAGGACAGGCAGTATGTATTCTTTTGATACCATAGCTCTATAGTGTGGCTTTGTAAATCGTTCATGAAGCCTTTTAAAGTCCTTATAACGGTTAAAAATCTGTTTTGATTAGCTGAAATTTAAACCTGTTTAAATTAGCTGTTGTATTAATCCTTGACTAATAATAATTTCAAGTGTATTGGCTGTACACTCTTAAGAGAGTAGAAATTCGGATTGGCTATCCTGGTTGGATCTGGAGGTGGGAAGGATTTTAATTATGAAACAAGAAGTACATTAGTAGTCACTGTGGCACACAGTGATGAAAAGGTAATATAATTATCTTGTGATTTACATAAAATAAAGTGCTTACTGAAGACCCAAATTGGTAGACCAACTAGTATAAAATATTTTCTGGGGAGGATGAGGATGAAAAGGAGAGTGAATGATTACTCCTGATCAAAAACTAGAGAAAATAAGGGCTTAGTAACTACTTTTTCAAAGACCAGTCAGATGAGTCAGGAGCTGATAGTTTTCTCTTAAAAAAAAAAAAATCAGATCTGTTGTGAAAGAGCAGTGATTGGGAAAGGGGGAGATCTGAGAATTGGAGTAGAGCCTGTTGGTAGGTTAAGATACAAGGCTGTTAAATTCCCAGACCTTTCTGTGGTTCTTAGCAGCAGCAGCCCTGTCGGCCTGCAGGAGGCTGATCCTGCCTTGCTTGAAGGCATCGTTAACTTGTGCTGAGCTATCTTCTCTTTTGAATTGTTGTGAAACCACTTTCCCCATTGCTCTCATGGGCTGCAGTCTTCTTTTTTACCCCCAACACCAACCGGTTTCTTTCGTTCCCATCACCGCCTTTGCCTGCCTCTGAGTTTAGGCAGAGTGCCAGTATGTCAGCTTTTTACACGGCCGGTGCTGCCTTCAGTCTCTTCCTCTCTGTGAGTGAGTGAGGCCTTCTGTCATTCCACACTCTCCTTAGATTTTGTCCTGCTTAGTGTCTTCTGTATTTTGTTTTTAGCTGTCACTCAGAGTAAATTGAAATTACTTATTAATGAATTTTTCCATTTTATTGTTGGTATAGTTTTTTAATTTATTTTTATGGTGCTAGGCAATTGCTGTGCCATGGATGACCTCCCCAGTTTCTCTATGCTTATATCTATGATTAGTTCCCCATAATCTTGCCATGCAAACTATTATTTGCATTTTATATTTCCTGTTAGACTTTGTTTATAAATTTCTTAATTAAATTAGGACCATGTGTGGTCATATACTTAAGTTCCTGTCTTAAATGTGAAAATAAAATGTTACATCCAGAATATCGTTTAAATTGACAAAAGCAGGCCTAGTTATGACTTGTAGACCATGAATTAGTAAACCGCATGTTGGTGCATTTTATTAATAACAAAGCACCCAGAAGTGCGCTGTGTCACTCACTATTCTGTTTGAGCTTGTCATAGTTATCCCTTGAGGTGCTAATGGCCATAAAGGTGTGGGAGTCTGTAATGAGGTTTCAGACTGCAAAATAGTTGGTTTGATTGTTTTGAATACAGCTCTGATTGGAAGGAGATCTTGGAAGTTTTTATTTCTCAGTCAAGGCATAGATGTTTATTCTCTTTTGTTCTCCTGTTAAGTCTTAAGACTGAAGGTCATTTACCTTGGTTTCAAATAAAAATATGCTTGGGTAAAAGATGGATGAATGTCCTTTTCTGTGTATCCAGGATGGCAAAGGGCAGTTTTTTGCTTTTAGTTTAGTTTTATAATGTGCAGGGAATGGATTGTCCATTTCAATTTTACTCTTAGAACTTTTTTTTTTTGTACTGGGGTAGAAAGGCCCTTTCCGTATCCTTGTCATGGTCTGGGAAGTTTATATTCGTAATCCCATGGAAATGTTTTTGGAATCCTGGTGAATTAGTTCCAGTCTATCACCTCCAGTGCAGACAATGGTGAGAATAAAGGCACTAAGACATACTTGCAGTTAGGCAGCCAGGGGGTCCTGAGCCTGGTCCAGACGAGGGTTCACAGAACAGAGGCCTTGACTGAGGCCCTAACCTGGATTTTATTAATTTATGAAGAAGGAAGTGGCTAACAGTGAGTGACTGTGAGAAGGGTGGGAGTTAACTGTGAGTACAGCTAGCTAGGAGTCCAGAAGGCACCTCTGCAGTATGCAGAGAGAGAGAAGGGTATGCAGAATGACCAATCTGCGTAACACAATTGAGGTACCATATAATGTTTAGCGGGTGGTGCCTCAGCTCAGATGTGTAAACCTATTTTGTTCTAGGAAGTCATGGTATTTTATCTCAAGCCTTGAACCCAGTT